CACGATATTCGAAGGGTCGAATGCCGTTCGAGGACCGTTTCACTGTCGGCGACCCGTATTTACGTACGAAGTGGCTGCCACTCGATCCCGAAATAAGTCCTCGCGCGCAGGCTGCGCACCCTAATTCACTGGCCAGGCTGATATACGCGTTAACGCCGCCAATGGTTTTAAGCCCGATGCTCGCACGCCTCGAAATAGAGATTAAAAAGCGACGCACGCATGAGAAACAGGAGAAAAATGACGAGCTATGCACGATTATCGAGGATATGCGCTTGCCAAGTTCGAAATCCCCGCCTTTTTCAGGTCAGATAGAAAGACCAATTTGTCATTGGTTATCGGAAGCAAGAATATTTTCGAAAGTAACGCATAGATAATTTTTTTGAGAACGGTGGGAATATTTTTGAATTATGAAAGTGGAAAGTGGTTTAACACGTTCGCCACGTATAAGGTGTCTTGAATTCGAGTTGCAATATATTTTAAAGTACAGTCGATCGCGAAAGTCTTTGTGTATTATCTCGCAAAAATTTATTTTGTTAATGAAAATTTTTTTTGTGATATATAGATAATAGATTATATGCAGAGATTGGAATTTTTTTCTCTTTTTTAAATATAATTTTGTTTACAAATATTTTTTGCAATTAGAACATCAAAAATGTATAATGTTATAAATTTAATATATACATATATATATATGGAAATTATATTTCTTGGAAATAATCGAATAATTTGAAGTGATAATAGTTTAAAATAATAGTTTATGGAAACAACGAAAAAATAAGGGGGAAAATATGGTGTTTTCACTGGCTGGAAAAATAAATGATTTACACCGATAGATCGATAATGTGACCTAGAAAACCTTTTCAAAGAGTTGATCAGTCGTTTCGCGATATCACTACGAAAGCACGTTGCGGTTTCCGTTTCCTGTTTTCCAATACGATAAAGCCGTCCTGTCTTCGCGCGTTTTGCGTGTTAACGAAACAAGTTTGATAAGAACTTTATATTGTTACAATATCAATCATAAATTACCAATTTTTTTTTATATTTTTATAACTATTCTTTCTTATATGATGATAGAGTATAACAATTCAATATCATCTTTATATTAAAACTAATAATAAAAAAATAATTTTTATATTTGGATTGACTCAAAAATATTTTATAATACAATACTTTAATCGAAATTATATTATTATTATAAGTACAACAAGATTTTTGTAAAATTTGTGCTACAAAATAGCACTAGAAAATGATGGCCAGATTTATTTTAATAGTAAAAAGATAAAAAGGAAAAATTATTGTTAAAAATTCCAAAAAGATTCATGGTCACAATTTAATAATAAAACTTTCATGAAATTTATGACCAACTTCTTAATTGTATACCGAAAGGAGAAGCCAATTATTACTTCGAAAGAAGAGGGGATGGGGGCACGTGCAGCCTTCTCTGTTCTTCGAGGCAGCCGCCGTGTTTAATATTTGCTATTCTTCGACGCCACTTCCTGCACACATTTGACGCAGGAAGTGCGTAAATAATTGCGCATTTTAGTAACAGCGGCACGATGCTTGTCACTTTAATTTTGCCGTATCGCTTTTTAATCTATATCCTATATTTTTTTACATTTTTCTTAAAAAAAATATAAAAATAATTCTAAAACGATAAAGCAGTGAAGTAAAAGTAGATAACAAATTTTATTTAAAAAAAAAAAAAAATCAAAAAATAGACTTATAATATTTTTAAAATATCTAAAAAGTGACGTGCCTCAAAATCAAGTAACGAATCCAACTTTGATGTGACATTGCATTAAATTTAAAAAAAATTGCTTTCCTATGAAAAAGACAAAAAACACTAACTATTTCCACCCCTGAGTTTTTCAAGCATATGCTACCCCATAATTCGTATTCTCAATGACGCCAATTATCCCCAATCGTACAATGAGCCAGGCTTTCGTCTCACAATCTCCGTACAATCGAATCGATTGTTTCGATCCAAATGTACAAAAGAAAAAAAAAGTGAGAAAGAAAGAGAAAGAGAAAGGGAGAATAAAAGAAAAGAATCTAGCATTCGTTTTAAATGCAGGTCGTTTTAAAAGATAATCACGCGCAATAATTCCAATTTACTCACGTTCGTGTAGAAGTCCACTTCTTTGTAGGGGTTCACAGCCACCAATATGGATCCGGTATACGTCTGGTGTCGAATAATCGTAATGCTAAGTCAAGGAAAATTATCGGTGCGCCGACTCGTTAAATCGCTGATGCATTCAGCCATTCGTCTATTAATCTGAGGGATGCAAATGAACGAAGGAAGAGAAAGGAAGAAATGGAAATTTGAAAAAAGAAAAAAAAAAGAAGGAAGGGGGAAGAGGGAAAAAAAGAGAGGCGGAAGGTTGTGTTTACCTGTAGCTGAAAGGAACCGTGTCGACGGCATTATTTCTCATTCTCCAACCTCGTGAACCTCCTTGAATGATAATGCGACATGCATTCCCAATTGGGGCTTGTATTCTGAGCGTGACGTCACGCGTGGTGCAGCAATGTGAACGCGTGTCGGTATTTTCTTCTTTTTATATTTTCCGACTGCTTTATGAAATTTGTATATTTGTAATATTTAACGAAGTGAAAGATAAATGATAACGTTCTCGACACATTCATTCACCACGTGTTACGTACATACATAGTTATTAATTTTTCATTTGTCTTTAACTTGGTAGAAAATAAAAGTTTGCATTGTAATATCTTTGATCTTATGGTCATACGTACGAAAGTAGAAAAAGTATAAAAGTGTTTAAATATATTCAATGCATAAAAAACTACTTTTCAAACTATATTACTATTATAGTTGGCATTTTTTTTTTTTTCATGTTTCTTTATCTTGTTATAAAAGAAAAGTTTGCATTGTAATATCTTTGATCTTATGGTCATACGTACGAAAGTAGAAAAAGTATAAAAGTGTTTAAATATATTCAATGCATAAAAAACTACTTTTCAAACTATATTACTATTATAGTTGGCAT